AAGATACATGACTCAGTGTTGCTCAAATCTCCTGCTAGTTATGATTTTCAGATACTGATCACCCCAAAACTGATTTTTTTCCAAGTTGACACTTGAGTTTAACAACGAGCAGACTGCAAATAATGTCTAGCTTCCATCCCAAATTTTCTGAAACTTGTAGCTGGCTGCCCTATAGAGGAGAGAATATTGGCAATCTATTATTCAGATGAAATTCAAGGAAGAAACTCAAAAACATTTTTTCACTTTTGAAGGCAGAATGTTTATTAATAAACATTTCTTGGGTTCAGACAAGCGATTCATTCCAGAAGTATTTAAGATTGAAAGAGGATTGACTCTCTCCCCCGTTCCTGATTGTACTCCAGCCCTTCTGTGCCATTTAATGTGTCATAGTTTTTCCATGCAAAAAGGTTTAGGTTCTGCTGCAGTAATTCAGCTCTGCATTATCAATGAAGTGGAGCTCAAGGCTCATAATTAGATGCTTGCTGCGCAATCAGTGAGGAGGCTTTTCATGCACATGGACTAGTTAAATTAGACCTGGGAAATGGGAAAAAGGCATAATTTAAACTACAAATCTTGAAGTAAGAATTGTTTGGTCTTTCTGTTTGGATAGTGCAGAACACTACAGTTGAGAAGATGTAAATATTCTTTAATATCTTAAAGTCAGTTTGAAAAGATGTATTAATAAATTTTAGCCACACCACATTTTCCTTTTCTTCTGTTCAGAGAAAAACTATTAAAGAGATAAAATTTTAATCAAGATCTGAAATAAGAATTGTTTTTTTAGTTCCAGTTTCACTGACTTTCTTGTTTTTCTTAAATGTAATAATATTAGTGCTTAAACTCGACATTTAACTTCTGATAAGAAGTAATAATTTTTCGTTGCACCCTGTTATGCCTCTCAACTATCAGCTGTCAAATATCAATATGAAGTACCCCATTAAAGATGCCTCAAAAAATGCTATGAGCATGTCCATTGAGAAGAAACAATCAAGTATTCCTGGTATGACTATGGGTTTGGAGTCTAAAGAAGGCAGTCCTATACTGGTTACTGACAGTATGAACCTGTTGTTTGGCATTGAAACCTACAGAATAGGGTAGATCCCAATAGAAGGGCCAAGGTAGAAGCAGGTCTCGAACTTTGCATTTTGCTTGCAATGGCAATATGTAATTTTTTTTTTATTATTATTGTTATTATTTTATTTTTTCTTTTGCGAAGGTCTATGCTTGTCAACCATTTTTGTGCGTGATAAATTTGAAGCAATGCTCAAGGGCCATACCAATGTAGAGAGGATTATTTATATCTGCTTAGGTTACACTTTAGCTTTAATGTTGTACGTAATGCCTTAAATCTTGTGTCAAACTTGTCTCAGCCTATGGAACTGTATGAATAATCCTGACTAGATTTTTTTTTTAAATTACTTTAAAGGATTTGCTTGCAAAATCTCTTGTGAAAAGTCCTGATTTGGGGCCAATCGGCTGTGCGCCTGATGATTCTGATGGGATTAAATTATCCGAAACATCAGATAATAGAGTTACTGGAAATGAGGAAGTCAGAAGACACCAACTCATTACTAAGGATACAGGTCAACTCTTGAATTTGTTTTCATTCAAGGGCAATGGAAATATTCCAAGTGAAGCCAAGGTGCAAGAAGCCCTGTTGTTCCTCTTTATCAATTTAACTTATTGGATATTGCAGCTACTTTTTTATTTTAATTTATAAACAAGGTCTTTGATGCAATTATTTTTCTTAAATTGTGCAGAAAGAAAATGCAACTGTCAAAGAAAAAGATGTTAGCTCAGATGATTTTAGACTTGCAACTGGCCTCAAGGGGAGGAAAAAGTATCTTCATTCCAGATTAGGTACTTCAGAACAACGAATAAATGGAAATTCTGATCTAGATGAAAAGCTATGTGATTTTGTTCCAAAAACTGCACGGTGGGCCTGCAAGAAAGAATCCAAGGTTGCTCCAGATGAAGATTTGAACTCTATGAGACCCCTACAAGTTGTTTTTCCTAAAAAATTGTGCCTTGTTGATACTGAGCTATGCTCATTTAAAGGAAGTAATGGTGGTAATTCCCGACAAGTGATGGAAATTCAAAATACCAGTCTTATTCATGCTGAAAATTCTGCGTTGATTTCACTGCTAGGGGTGCAAACCAAAAGTGCCCTGTATTCTGAGTTACAGCTGACAGGTGAAGAGAAATCACAAGCCCAAGGTCTTAAACCCAAAATTGCTGCTAACATCAGCAAGTCCAATATGAGTTTCCCTTCAAAGCTAAAAGCTCAGGGAAAGAGGAAACCTGAATTAGAGGCATTTTCTGCCAGAGAACCACATGAGAGTACAGAAGTTATTGCTAGTACATCCATAATTCTATCAACCAAGAGACAGCGGAAATCTAAAACCTGTACTCATGGTGACAATTTAAATGAGTCCATCAACAGTAAGATTACCAAAAGAGCAGTGCAGCCTGGCCAGCATGAAACTGAAGCTCGGGCTATTGTTCTTTATGACAGCAAATTTTCTGAGTTCCAAAAGAAAAGAAGAGTTTCAAAGTTGCCAATCACCGTGGAAATACAAAATTCAACTGTTAACTTGGAATTACCAAATTCAGATAGGGTTTCAATGGAAAATGGAAGCCAGGTAGGTCTTCATACTAATAAGTCGATTTCCTTGGTGGATACCCAGAATGAGACCTCAGCTAATGCCTTGAAGAAGTTGACATTGTCTAATTTGAGGGCCTTGGCAAAGCAGCACAAAGTAAGAAAGTACTATAAGCTTCCAAAAGGAGCTTTGGTTGAACTGTTAGTTGAGCGTCTGAGTAGCTGCTAAAGTTACTAACGGGCTTAATGGTGGTAACCCATTTTTGCCATGCATTTTTGGGCATCTTTCTTGGTTTTGTCCGGTGCTTCCATGGAATTTGGTACAGGATTCTGACATAGTTATGAATAATACATAGGCAAACCAAAATGGATTTGTGACAGGATATTGTACAGCCCAAAGATGGAATACTTGGAGTACTTTGTAAATGAAAGGAAGTATAGGTTTTCTTCCTTGCTGCTGGTTAGTCATTGTGGCCTCGTAGGAGACTTAAAACTTTGCTTTTGTGTCACGTTCATGTGCTGCTGAGATCCATTCTGATGATATAATCTAAAATATGGGAAGCAGCGAAGCTAGTGAATAGTCACTGGCTATGCAACATTGTGGTTGCTTCATGAAGAAGCAATGGGACGCGTTAAACTTGGGCAGTTTTGTGTTTTGGGGATGACTAATATGTATTAGGAATTGCCATTTGTCCATGTTAAACGTCTGGGAAGTAAGAAGTGCGAACTTTAAGAATTGCTAGATAGTAAGCCTTTCGCTGTTAAACAAAATGTGGCCTAGAAATCACTGAAATTCTTAGGCCCTAGAGAAATCTTACGTCTAGCACTAAGATGAAATCAAGTGACTAGTTAATCAACTTTTGACATCTTTTTATACATAATTTACTTTATCTTGGTGTTATTGACTACGGAGTTACACGAGCACATCCACGTATCTACCAATGTTATCTTGGTCTTATTGACTATGGAGTGACTCGAGCACATCCACGTGTCTACCAATGTGCCCGCACAATTGGTCAAAAACTACACAACTAATTCCTACAAAAGAAATCGGGGACTTCCATGCAATATGTTCCACTGCATTCTTGATTTGAATGTGATCAAATAGTGTTAATTATCCTAATGGACACCTATTTTTATTTGTAATTGGAAGGAATCTTTAAGCTGGTGGTAAAAGATTTTAGGACAAAAAATATTGTTCAGCTTGGTTAAATGATTCCTGTTGTATAGAAATGTAGTTTTTCTATATTAAAAGGAAAAATTGTTTATCCTTTTAAATGACACAACTTATATCCTTTCACTCTCACAAAGAGGTGAGATCCACACATTTATTTTTTTTGTCAACTCTCTCTTCTCCTTTATCTATCTCTTTCTCTATCTTAAAATGACATAATTTTACATCTTTTAAAATGACATACACTTTTTCCATATTAAAAACGTGAACTCTTCATAAATTAGACTTAGGTAGTATATTAAGTTTCTTTGTGAGCTAACTTCACCTTAAATACAAGAGTTTTTTTTGTTAAAAATTAAATCTAATACAAGTACTTTGTAGTTAGAAACAATCTCACCCAAATCTGTAGGTATTTTTATTCATTTTAATACAACTTGCAAACCAAAAAAATAACACGAAGTATAAGGGAATGCTTATGAGTAGAATTTTTGACAAACTAAATTTTATTGGTTACTATTAGATTGGGAAGTACAAGTTAAAAAGATCATAACCAATGTTTTATAACAGAGGCTGAGCTTTTATGTTGTATACTGGACTTAGCAATGATGCCGAAAGTAACAATTTCAAATTCCTTTACACACATGTAATGAGTGGAAGGGATGAATAATCTCTCCTGTTTGGGAGTTTGAAAAATAGATAGTGTTATGGATCTACATAAGGCCCATATGCCTAAAATGGCATATACTCGACAACTAAGCAAGAAAACAATTGGGCCATAAAGCAAAAAGTCCAGATTATTCAAACCCTAAGGTAAACTCTATACATAAGAGGTAAAGACCACATGTATGAACAAATTTCTCTCTTTTACTACATTGTGCACACACACCCCATTGGCTAAAGATCACATGTATGAACAGATTTCTCTCTTTTACTACATTGTGCACACACACTTCATTGGCTAAAGCGTCATAGTTGTGTACGATGATTTGCTACCCACAAGGTGTCTAATTCATAGATATCTAGAAAGATCACAAAATTCTATATTGATCTACTAGCCGTAGACTAGACATCTCTGTCATATAAACAGAAGAGATAGGAAAGATAGGAAGGGAAAGGAACTCAAGGGGATCTATTTCCCTCAAATGCACAATTTTTGATCCGCCGAAACTGTGGCAGAATGGGAGATAATAAACTTATATAGCTTAGAAGTTTACATTCCGTTCCAATCCTTTACAATATATAAGTCCAAACAAAATAATTAAGTTCCATTGGATCTGGTGCAGTTTTTTGTGGAATCATCAGTCCAATTGCTTAGAGGCTTATATTTTGACGTATATATTATATATATACAATAATGTAATACAAAAAATCCATCAGAAAATAATATATTTATGCTCATTAAAATGTTCCCTTTGACAAATGCTTCTCTGTATATGGTTACATCCACATTTGTTTTTGCCATGAGAAAACAATCACTGTTGTCCAAGAAGTGAAGGCTTGAAGAAAACATGGCTTTGTGCAATCTCAATGCGTTCACGAGGATCATTCAGATTTTCATCCCTCAGAGCTTTTAGAATAGCCTGTGATGATTGTTCCCTGAGAAATGAATCATGCACCAGAAGCATGGTGGAAACTTAATTTAGTGAATTGGCAAGATACAAAGAGATTTCCAAATGTAGTACTTGGAGTTGGAAGTGTTCAAATATAACATGCTTAAGTGTAAAGTAAGTAGGTTTACAAGGCTAGTTAATTATTGTAGGAGATTACCTGGATATCAATATTTTGTAGAGTGTCTTCAAGATGGGGCAGAGCTCTACAGGAGCAACAGGCTTGTTTTCTTCAGGATGCAACACATTCAGGCTTGATTGGCTCAAAAGTTCAAAGAATGCTTCCACTGCAGAAACACCCTACAAATAGATCACAGGGATAGCATTTTTGTTTAGTTAGTGGAATTTGAATGAAGGCAAAAAAAATTGACTCTGAGGAGAGATATTCACAAAGTAAAATTCCCCTTTCTTATGTGAATATCCACTATAATTTCAAAATGGTCAAAACTAGAAGGGACGTGTATGTCACATGCACATTTTACAAAATATTCACTTCCAGGATACCATTGATGTACTAGTCTCTTAGTTCTGGGAATTGAAATCACTTGTTATCAAATTGTTTACACATGTAAAGCATGAAATATTGATTGATTGTCCTTATTTACTAGCCAATAATTTATTTCATTCTTTTGCCTGAAAGGAACTGTAATAAGCATGAATGAGACAAAGGTATTCTTATTGCTTTCTTTTATTATGAATAAGTTAATTTAGAACATTTGAAGGAAAAGTGTGGCATATGTCAAGTAAAAATTGTAACATCATATTCATCAACCCATCTAAGAATGCATATAGTTATGCATTTTTCACATTATAAAGATGCAATTGGCACACTTTAGAAATATATGTTGGGGTGTGTTCCTCCTTTAATGCTTGGTAGCTAGGCATGCATCACATTTATGGGTTCATGGCTCAATGTCTTGAACAACCACCTCAATGAATGTTGTGCACCTTATTATTGATGAAGATTCTAGAAGAAGGTGTAAGGTTTCTCCTCACCTATATAAATATAAGAAACCTTTTGTAATGAGTTTTAAAGAGGGAGCTGAGATAGCCTTGAGTGAATTCCTCTTAAGAGAAGTTTGAGTGTGAGATCTCTTTAGAGAAGAACCTTATAACCACCATTGCTGGTGAAGTTTGAGTGTACCTCTAGTGTAACTAGAGAAATTTGAATTTCTTGTAATCCTACTTTTCATAGTGGAAGATTTTCTGGACTAGTATCCCGTGATTTTTATTCCTTTGCCTTAAGTATAGGTTTTTGAGGCACCCCTCCCAACAACATATATCTCATGAGTTAGGAAAAAAAATTAAGACAGGGAAAATTACAAAATATACCTGAATCATTCCCTTGCCACTAATGCTGTCACCCATGTCAGGACTTAGTTGACCCTTAGCTAACATCTGGCCATACCATGCATTGCGGCCTTTTAACAAGGTCACATAAGTGTCAGCCAGCAATGGCCCTGCAAGTTTCTCAGGTTCTTCGGCCAACAAGTGAGTGATAAATATCATCTCTGACGTGCAGTGTGCAAAGTATACAGATTTGCTGGTAGCACTCTCATTGGTAAGGGCTGCTACCATTCCTGACAGCATAAAAAAGGAAAACAGGATATATAGATTGTAAATCAGAAAGCAAGTCTAAGTCATAGGAATGCCTTTTATAAAATTATATGTATTTTGAATCCCTTGCTGAGATCAATCTTTAAACTCAACCTTACTTTTGCATATTTGCAAAGAGACTATTTTCCGGATTCGAACATGTGACCTTCCAGTCACAACTGTGAATCAACTAATAAAATAGACAACATTACATATAACAAAACATGATGGTATGGATTATTGCAAGTTTTACATTGGATGTAAAGCAATAGTAACTAATTCGAAGCTTACCTGCTCCAATTGCATAGACATTTTTCAAACCACCCATGACCTCATGAGTGACAAGGTCACTGTTGTCCCAGACAATAAACTGTGGTTGTCGTAGAAACTTTGCCAGATGTTTCCTCCATTTCTCATCTCCACATATTCTAGCATTGGCATACTCCTTGTTGTAGATTTCTGATGCAATATTTGGACCACCGAGATAAAGTATGTTCTCCAAGGGCACTCCAGCTGTCAAGTTTACATTGGAAAGAGTGGTGAAGAATGAGAGAAGAAATAAATATATTGCAAAGAAAGAAGGCTATGATAATACAAAATATGATGAAATAAATCAGAAGAGAGTAATTACTAAAATTTCCCATGCATTCAGATAAACAAGGAAGATTATTTCTACCAATACTGACCAAAAGATAAAAAGTTAATCATGAAGTATGCAATACAACAAATATCTTGTAGATGTTTTTATATCAAAAGTACAAAAAATAAGACATCAATGAGCTCCTGACACACATAAAGGTGTTCCTGAATGTTGTTTACATTTTCCCATTTACTCATCATCTTGATATGAAAGACTTGTATCTGGTTCTACTCTCCAACATCCTACCACTCCAACCAAACTAACTGCACAAGTATTGTCAGTACAACATCAACATTATTTACATAACATGGAATATTGTCAACATCTTTCAGTTGTAGACTTATAAGTTATGAGGAAAACAAAATATTGTTTTTTCCTTCCATATCAAGATTTAATGACATAAATCATTCTCATAATTTGCAATAGTTTTCACTATTGCATTTGAATTAAAGGTAGGTTTAAAGAACCAATTCAACCCAAAAGCTTAAGCTGTTAAGTGAAGGCCTATCAATGGTTTATATACTTCTTTATCATGTCCCCTTACACGAGAGCACACTGGACAAGAAGGGTGGATAATGCATAGATTCACCTATCTGTGCTAAGAAATTCCACAAGAAAAAGTGGGAGGCGGTGAGAATCGAACTCGTAACACCGAGGCTCTGATACCATATAAAGAACTAGTTTACCCAAAAGCTTAAGCTTGAGGTTAGTTTTATATATATGTCTAACATTAGGAAAAAAGGACAAGATACAGAAATATAATTACACATTTGTTTACATATTCTATCCTGGCAAAGACATGAGAAAAAATATTCATTTCTATCACCATTAGAAGAAGCCAATAATGTATAAACATAAACAGAAATGAAGAAAACTCTTACTTGCTTGGTTAATCATTTTTGTGGGAGTTATAATATGGGGAACAGGCTCCAATGCAGCCTCTATACCCTTTGATAAAGAGATTATTATAGGCACTGTGATCCTCTCCTTCCAATATTTACTAATCTCTTCAAAAATCTCACGTGTTTCAGTTGAAGGCAAACCATTAACCACAATATCAGCATCCCAAACAGCTTCCTGCAAGTTTGTAACAACTTTCAATGGACAAAGTGGAGTATCAATCATATTCAAGCAAAACCCATCTTTCAGAATCTCATCAGCAAAAAGGGTCCTATCACCAAGCCTTGCCTCAACATATTTCAGATAAGCACAACGACGAATCAACCTCCTCAACACATCCTCTCTAGAGTTGATAACTTCAAAGAGATGTTCAGCAGTGGCTCTATCAACTCTTCTTCCTGTTCTTCTCCATATCCTGATTTGTATCTTGTCCCTGAATTGGCCATAAGTATCTTGTAACAAAGATGCAAAAACACTACCCCAAGCACCAGCACCAACACTAACAATTCTCAAAGGATCACCATCACCCTTGCCAACAAGGCTTCTCAGATCATCAAGCTTCTCCTCTAACCCATTGCCATTCTGAACAGATTCATTTGAGTATGTATTATTACGAACCATTCCCATTATGCTTCCCACCATGCTCTAAAAGGTAAGATAACAAAATTTCTAAAAACCTACAAGGGCTAAAATCTTCAATGATTTTGGCTTCTATGAACTTTCAATAGGTAAGTTTGAGTCTAGTTTTTATGAGTCTATAAACTAAACAATAGACTCATATATATATAACCTGGCTCAATCTTATGCCTTTCACTTTCCCCTCACCCAACTACCCAATTTTATTCCTTTTACCATAAGAATAAGATTGCGTTAGGAAAAGACTCAGCATTGGAAATTGGAAAATCAAATCTTGCTGGCAGATATTGCTTGCCAAAGCTGAACATTTATTAGGGTCTTTCCACTATTTTTGACCAAAAAATGAAACCTATCCACTCTAAATTTAATTGCAACATGCAACACATGTAAATAAAATCAACACTAAATAATAGCTTAAGAATTTTTATCTATACATTGATGTAAGTTTAGTGATTCCTTCCTCTCCATAAAACAGGTTAATAAATAGATAGGTGGAATGGGCAAAAAAATAAAAAAAAATAAAAAAAACTTTGTTTTCTCCGTCTCTAGTTTGTTGATCTACCCAACTATAAGACACAGCTAGTACCAATTAAAAAACCAAACTTTCGTGCTGGGAACTACAAAAAATTGTTCTTTCAATGAAGGGGTTGATTTACTTTAACTCCTCCAAGTCATTACCCCACACTATAATTCCTAACTGTTTTTTTTTTTTTTTAGTGAGTAATAATTCATAGCTTTTCAATCATAAAGTTGTAGTAACTAGTAGGAAATAAAGGTTATATAGCACTGAATGGTGCATATTGTTAAGGATAGAAAGTAAAATTTTGCTGGGGTTGAAATAAGAAACTACCTTTGGGATTGCAAACATAAAGAAAGAGGGTGTAATAAAGAAATGGTATGTTTGGCCAGTAGAGTTAAGTTGACATAGGTGCCACCAATCAATCTATTGGCATTAAAGGTTTTTGGGTGTAGCCAACTTCCCCAACGGTCATTAATATTGTGTGACTTTGCCCATAGTTTCATGTGATGTGCCCTTCCAACCTTTGGTAGCTACTGTAATATATCTTCAACACTTGTCCTTCTTTTGTGGTTGATGGACACATATTAAATGTTGTGCTTTTTCTGCTCCCCTCCTACTTTGAGCTTGTCTTATTTGAAATATTATTGCTGGAAGTACTTTTTACATATAACATTTCAGCTAGTGTAATTGGATTCACTCAGTTACCATTTGGGTTGGTTTTGTTGACTTCTGTTTTCTACACTTTTTGGAAAACTACTAGTTGAATTTAGGTGACTGAATTATTTGATTTTTGTGACAATTTAGCTCCATTTAATGTACCCGTGATTCACGTACTAATGTTTCTCTTTTCTTGATGTGAATATTTCTATTGAATTCGTATACTCAAACTCTTTTACTAATTTTGGTAAAAGGGTAGTATTGATTTTGCTTTGAGTCAGATATTAACCTTTTTAAAAAAAAAATGATTTTGCTTAAGGTAGCATAATAGACCTTGGGTGGTCCATATCAGTTTTTGAATATATCCACCAATCATCGATTTATCGATTACTCAATAAATTACGTCTGACCTATTATAAGGTGTGATTCTTCCAAAATTATTTTCTCCATTCTCAAATTCGAATTCGAAACCTCTAAACAAGGGAAGTTAAAGCAATAATTCTTTTATCATAACCTACATTAATGTATATAAAAGGCCTACAGTTTCCACTTTTATAGTTAATGTGTAATATGCCTATATCGATTTGCAAAGTTGATCGGCCATCTTTATAACATTGTAATTTAATGTGTAATAGGAGCGATAATTCTATCTAAAGGGGCGAATTTAATAGGAATAACAAAATTTAAGGGAAGGAGTGAAAAAAATAACACGTTTACTTAGAGGAGAGTATAAAAAAGTATTGGGCAAGAGAATTCATTTTGACAAAAATTGAAATAAAATAATTTATACATATCTAATATTTTTCTATTATCTATGTAGGCCGAATTGGTTACAGGCCAATTCATTAATAAATACTGACATAATTTTTTTTTGGGTCCAAAAATACTGACATAATTTAAAACAAGTCAAAGAAACAAATTGATTTACTTAACCCATAATTTTGTTGATTTTCTTTAATTTTATTTTTTTTAAATACTCTCCAGCCGCACAGGTTAATGCATGGTTATCAGAATATGAACAACTCAAACCAACATCCATTGGTTCAGTGGTAAAGAGTTTATTCTCAATATAGAGTTTGAATTCTGAAAAAAAAAAAAAAAAATGGAATTAGGAAAGAGCCTTTTATAATGAGTCCGATAATGTTTGAATAGGATTAATCGAATAATGGATGAATCAATGGATATATATATATATATATATATATATATATATATATATATATATATATATATTATATATATATGTGGAAAAATGTTTATGCAGTTACTGCAAATAAGTTATCTACATTTATTCTCAAAACGACGTCGTTTTGGCATTAAAATCTTAAAAAATTATAAATATAAAGACTACTATAACCCTGAAATAAATTAAAATTACTAAAATACCATAATTTTCGCCCCAAAACGACGTCGTATTGGACTTACTGTAGATAACTTATCTACTGTAACTGCAGAAAGAGCGAACCCATATATATATATATATATATATATATATATATATATATATGAGGAGGGATATTCTCACTACCAAAATTTTTCACTACCAACAACTACCTATCTAATCTTAACCAGTGTAAGTTATTAGATACAAGTGTAAGTTACACTCTATATATATATATATATATATATATATATATATATATATATATATATATATGGGTCATGATCATTTTACACCAGTGTAAGTTACACTCTAAATCTCGACCATTGATCCCACTTATATCTTAGGGTTTTAATTTTTTAGTAATGTGAGTCATTAGATACAAGTGGATCAATGATTAAGATTGAGTGTAAGACTTATAACTCTTAGACCGGTGAAGATACAATGTAAAGATAAAACGAATTTTTATTTCCAACTATGACATTTTTTCTGTTGACCATGTTTTTCTAAATATATAAATAACGAAGTATGAATTTTTTGTGAGAATAAAGAAATCGAAAAATATAATTTCACATTTTTTTTTTACAAAATTGAATTAAATAATACCAGTATAACAAAATTTTCATCAATTTCAATAACCCTTTTTAAGTTAAAAATTAAAAATAAGATGGGACAAAGGAAAGTATATTGCTTCGTAGATCAAATTAACATTATTTCATATTCAAAATACTTTATAATTAACTTTTTTTTTTTTTTTGGTACATTGCCATGAGGTATCCCCATTCAACCTTCTCCGGGCACCATGCTCTTGGGGTACGGCCCGTTTGGGCTAGCCCCTCATTGTAACAGTGAGTGCACTAAGCTTAGCAACCGGAGAAAGGACTGAGACTAATCCCCCAACCAAATTTTTTTGACTTATCCACTAACCTCCAAAGATTTTCCAAGAAACTGCTTGAGGCAGGATTTGATCCCTGCACCAAGCAATCCCTTGGGAGCTCAGGTGTCAAGGGGTTATTAAAAAAAAAAAATCTTAGTCGAAACCGAACATAAAACTTCTGTCTTTAGTGCTTTCACGTGGGTTCAATAAATTAGAAAGTTAGGTTGAACTATCGCTTTCACATGGGTTCAATTTCCATGTCATAAAACCTATCCATTTGTCCAAATAACATAGGATCTCTTTTTGGGTCTACACTCTGTTCCACGTTGTTATTGGATATCGAACAAAGGCCACAACTCCAAAATAACACTTTGAACCAAAAACAAATTGCATTGCTATGTTTATATTAATTAATTTGAGTAAAATAATCTTGGGTTGTGCTATATATCTAAGACTTAAGGTAAATTTTATTTTCATTTTTTAAAGATATTTGTTTAATAGAGATGAACTATGCATGGTGTCGTGGAAATTGAGGGAAATTTTTTGAATACGTAAGGTAAGATGTACCCACTTCGTTATATATTTTTTCCAAATAGAGAAATTATTTTTCCATTTATATCCTTATTTTTCTTAATTTTCCCCACTATGTACCAAAAGGTTTTCTCTTGAATTGAGAGATTCCAAGGAAGAGAAACTTGGTGGGCTGATATGCGAAGGTGAATTCAACTCATAAATAAGAGTTACTCTTATTTTCACCATACGCCCAATATCCAAGTCTCAGCCTCAGTTAGAACTCTCCCCAAAACAATATTCAAATTACATTACCCTTTCATTTATTTTAAAAATTTATATTCTCTTTTCTTTTTAAAGATGAAAAGATAATGTATTTTAATTCATTTTAAAGATTAAAAATTATATGTTTAAGCCACTAGGTTTGATTTAGTGGTAAGGGGTTTGTAGGAACTATTGGATTTATGCGGAAGTCTAGTACATTAGTATGCTTACCGAATCATCCTCGTTTCACAATTACCTCTTGGTGCGCAAGTCTCGTGTAGAATCTTTCCTTATATGATTCCTCTTCACGAACAGCTCACCTCAATGCCACAACACGAACAACCTCCTTGAAGCTAGATTGTGGCAGATCTTCCAGACTATGTCTCAAGGGAAAACAGGAAGTGTGTGGGCACTCTCCCACTTTCAAGAAGACCTTATCTCAGCCTCTGCAACCATCAAGTAAAGACCAGAGAGGCTGATGACTATAAGCGTAGAATATATATGGGTTCCAAGAAACCCTAACCCTAAGCAGAATGAGCTTTAGGTTTCTTGGGCTCCTCTTACACTCTGGACCCTATTGGGTTTTAGTGAAAAAGCAAAACTCAACAATCTCCCACTTGCTCTTGAGTACAAACTTGAGCCTAAAGCCCAAGTCCATGTATCCCACTAGTCGTCATCAACTAAAATTGTCCCATCCCTTTTCTTGAGTTAGCCTGGGGATCTACAATCTGTTATTAATCAAGGCTCTTGATAATCAACGAATGATTATCTAATTCGGTACTATTCCACTAAAAGCCTGAACTTGAACTCCAAGACTAATAACACTTATAACATGAATATGCATCGCCCCTTCGTAGAATGTCTATAATTGATTGACAAGTTTTTTGTAACTTAATCAATTATTTATTCCCTTGACTATGATAGTTTCTCTAATGGATTACATGCACTGGCTAGTGTCTTTTATATCC